GGTGTGCACCACCACCACCAGGCATGATTTCATTTCTATGAAATCTTCAGAATAGGTAAATTTCTGAGACTGAATACAGACAAGCAGTTTACTATAGTAGGAAGATATGGAATAGGCACTAATAGGTACCGCATTTACTTCTGGGGTGATAAAATGGTTGGAATTAGACAGACATGGTGATAACACATGAATGTACTAAATAGAAATGCATTTTTTATCTTAAAATGGTTAATTTATGTTATTTTAATTTTGTCTTAACAGGAAAAAAAAAACAAAAAAAATATATTGAAAAAGAAAAGTTGAGTACTTGCTTGATAGAAGAAAAGCCATATAAAGAATTCACTGATCTCCTTGTTTAAGCCATCAAAACTACAAAACTCTAAAATGCCTGTCATAGTAAAACCTTTCTCTACTGGAACACCAATAATGCTTTGCTGGGAATGTTTCAGAATTCCCACCACAACTCTAAGGTCCTCTTCCTTGTGCTCATTTCATGCACAATGGCTTAAGAGACCACAAATATTTTCCGACTTTTTTTCTTATGTAGGAACGTAACACTGCCCAAGTAGCTTGGCAACATTTTTTATGCACCTCTTACTCATCAAACCAACAATTTGTTTAGGCATAACCATTCTGCAATATGATGACCTTGAGTTCACAATCTCCCCTCTCCTTTGAAGAACAGAAGTTGTGTATGATAGTGATGGTGATAGAAAGGATCTTAGCAATTTTACAACTGAGAGTAATGTTCCATAGCAGAAACAAAGGTCGTGCCATTGCGTCCCTTAATAGTGGTCTTCAAGAAAATGAGTTGAATAAGCAACTGAATAAAGAGCTCTACTCCAGTTAACTCTGCCCTAGTAGTTGTTCAATTTTATAATCGATTACTGCCATGAACCACATGCAGGAGTCACATGCAGATATTTTCTCAGGTGCACCTCAAAATTAGAAATGTCAATGAGAAAAGGCTTAATTTGTTTGAAATCTTAATTCTACACACACACACACACACACACACACACACACACACACACACACACACACACACACAAAATGTATGTTTGTATCTAGGGAGAGGTATTGTATAACATAACCTAAGCTGGCCTGGAATTCATAGCTATCTTTCTATCTAGGCCTCCTCAGTGCTAAGATTAAAGGAAGGAACCACTAGGCCTAACTTATACTAAAAGACTAAAGATTTTTTTAAACTTAAGCTTGTTTTTGATGAATTATATAATACAGAGTCTCCTGTGGGTCAGTCCCTATCTATGCATATTGGCCATGTTAAAAAGCAAAGTACCATGTCCTCATTAAAATATCTATCATCTAATTTAGATAAACTCAAGCTCTGTCACCAGGACAAAGGAGGCAGATCTTATTACTGAGTAATATAAATATGTATGAAACTTTTCACTTCTGAATTTAAAGTCATTTAAAGTAAAGACAATTCACAGTATTTTAAATAAGCAAAAACTTGGATACCATTAAATTCCCATTAGGCCAAAGAAATTATAGGATACTGAAAATATATTTTTAATGCATCCAAAAAGAAAGTACATGTCCAAAGCTCTGGGAACAAAACTGTGCCTTTTTTTTTTTGCTCATAACTCAGGCAATATGAGTCTTAAGAAGAGACACTTTGCATATTCCAAGTCAACTCTGGAAAGTACTCAAGTCAACTACAAGCCAGGACTAAGTGACAGATTTATTAGGTGAGGATTAAATAGCTAATGTTTTACCACAAACTTAAGTGTATCTGAAGTCTCTACTGGTACTAGGTATAGATGGTAATTTGTTCAATTTATAAATGACATTTTTTTGCCCACATGTAACAATTTTATACAATCTATGCTAAACTAGTTTCTAAACTTTCTAGTAGTATATGTATAAAACAATGGATTTTATCGTGACATTGTCATACATGCCTACAATGTAGTTCAATTATATTTATACAGATGCCCCCATACTCTCTGTGTGGTATTTTCTTAAATCTAGAGTCCATATATGGGAAAATACGAAATATATGTCTTTCTGAATTTGTATTGTTTCATTTAATAAGATAGTCTCCAGTCCAACACATTTTCATACAAATTATATTTTTTCATTCTTCTGTATGACTAAATAAAACCTCACTGTGTAGACATACCATATTTTCTTTACTCATTCTTCCATTTATAAATAAGAAAATGTAGAACATCTATAAACGTTGCCCCCAACAGTGAGCAAATTTTACAGGCTGTAGTAGGTGTTTAATAAAACTTTTTGAGACGGGAACCTCACAGTAAAATGACCTCAAACTCAAGCCAGCCCTGTCTCAGACACTTAAGTGTTAGAATTGTGAGCAAGCAACACTACACCTGGCACAAATATTAAATTAAAATATAGCTGAAACTTAGTGACTGGAAGTTACGAACTAGGGCATAATCTTTCCGCTTTTTATTTTTTTGAGGGGGCAGGTTTTGTACTCCTATCTGTCTGTCCTGGTATTTGTAGACCAGAGTAGCTCCAAACTCAAAAGATCCACCTGCCTCTGTCTTGTAGGTGCCGGGATTAAAGGTGTGTGTCACATCTGCTTAGATGAGAATAATCTTGTAAAATAGATACTTTGGAAAACCTGTAGAAACTGCAGTAATGCTGTTCACTGTACAACTGCTTCTCAGGTGTCTCTGGAAAGATGAATATTTTTATTCCTAGTAGAAAAGCTCAGAAACCTCATAAATATTATTTTGCTAACTCATCACTATCAATTCAAATGAAGTACAGAAAAATGAGCTGAGTCCACTTTCAAGGCTCCTGTTAGGAAAGGCTAAGGACAATTTCACTACCCAGAGTGTTCTGAAACAATGATTTCAGAGGGTTATGTCTGAGCAGTCAATTTAGCAAAGCTTCTGCTGGGGATAGGTAGCTTAACCTGTGCTAAACATCTAACTAAAATGTCACAGTTTGGGGAAATATAGGATATTAAAAAAAAAAAAAAAAGCAAGTGACTTTGAAATGCTTGTGTTGGCTCACTCATTAAAAAAAGGCAATACATCATAAGACAACCTAATATATTAAACTACTACCACCACCACCAATGTTTATCAGAAGCTTAATGATCCTATAGCCACATATTTCTTTTATCCCTTCTCTCACCATGAATTGAAGCATAAAACCAGCTGACTTTCTAAGAAACAATTCAATTTTCATCAAACTTAAGTTGATAAGTTCATTTGCAAAGGCAATAAAATATCAGTTCACGAAGCAAAATGATTCTCCTAGAGCACTGGTTATCAACATGTGGATCACAACTCCTTGGTGGTCACATTAGATATTCTGCATAACAGATACTTACATTATGATTCTTAACAGCAGCAAAATTATAGATATGAAGTAGCAACAAAATAACTTTATGGTTGGGGGTCAACAAAGCATGAGGAACTGTATTAAAGGGTTGCAGCATTAGGAAGGTTGAAAACCACTATAGAACCTACAACTAGATTAATGAGGCACCCTACATCCATACACCTTTGTTCTGTTTTTTTTCACCTGCTGATGTAAGTCTTGAGGCTAATGTAAAAATAATTCACCAGGACAGCTAATTATCACATGTTCCACATTTAAAAAAAACCTATAATTATCAAAGTTTTATAAAGTAAGGCAAGGAGCAATTAATATTTATCCAGGTATTTAAAAATAAGTTATTGGCAATGTCCAAATTTGTGAAAGGCTGTGTTAAAACCAGTATACTCATAAGGTACTGGTATGCAGTAAAAACTGGGATAGCCATCAGGAAAGCTATGTGGCAAAATGAATTGCTACTATATTTACTTATGCACGTTGACAATACTCTATCCTTATGAAACAATTGAGATAAAAAATAATCATTTAAGTGGGAAAATACTAATAAATTTTCAGTACAGAGCTACTGAAAAGTAGCCTAACAGTGAGAAGTGTGGTTAAATTGCATGTAATGAATGAAGTACCTACACAGAAAAATGCTTGGGAACTATAAAGCACTTCTTCATTGTGACTGCAGTCAAAATTACATAGAGATATGTAATAGAACAGAGAAAGAGACAATACAACAAAATATTTTCCTAAAATTAGACTGTATATCATCTTTTCCATAGAAAAGATTTTACATAAAAAATTAGGTATAGAATGTTGTTTTTGCAATAAAAAAATAAGTAAGTAATAGGTTACCAACTTTAACCTTCTCAACAAAACCGCTGCAAATGTCTATGTAAAGTCTGAAAATAAAACACATTCTATGAAAGTGGACTGCATGTTATTAGACTGAAAGTTCCTAGATGACTTATAGAAACAGTTTGTTTGGCTAGTAGCCTAATAATACATAGTAATTAATCTTAAGACCCTTTCTGCTCAAAAGACCTGCAAACATTCTGTTCACCACAGTTTGGAAATTATTGATTGGCTTGAAGAGACTCAAAGGGGGCATAGGAGGGAAGGCATCTTAATTACCAGAGAGGCCTTTCCATACTCCATGCTCCACAGTTGGGAGTCACTAATGGCAGTATGCATTATCCCTCAGGCGAATACACTAAGGTTTGCTCAAGAACCAATGAACTATGCAGATAGTGATAAATAACTTAATGCCACAGAGGGGAGAAGCATAAAGTAAGATGAACCCTTTAAAATAGTTTGGGGAGGTTTTCTACTTCTTATAAAATGGGAATCGATTGAGTCTGAAGATACTAATAGTTTCTACAAAGGAATATCTCTTCTATAATTATGAAATTGTAACTCGTATGAAAAATGAGTAAATCATAAGAATTAAGCCATTTCCCCTTGATATAAATATGATATTGCTTAAGATATGTGAAAAGATGAAGCATGTATCTTCTTAAAGTCTGGATACTGAAGGAAAAAAAATTGTGAGTGCGATAGAGGGTGTCTCCACAGGCCAAATATATAGCATCTGCTTCCCAGAGCTAAAGGACAGACAAACGAGCCTCCACTGCCTTCGGAATAGTGCTTTAGCATTAGGAGACAGTTACCTCTGGCCTAAGTACAGCTTTCATGCAGACTGGACAAAGAGGCCCATTTCGGGAGAAATGAAGGGGAAGACGTCGAGTGCGACTGCGACATGTTGGCTCCTCGCATATCAGCCAGCCCTGGAGAGACAAGGGAGAACAATGTGGTATTATACTCGTCATTGACCAACGAAACTAATAAAGCCTTGTTATCAAGAGTTTATCCCAACTTTCCTCAGAGATTGCAAAATAGCTTAGTTACTCACCTCTATGGACACTAATTAGATGTATGCCCCAAACTTAAAAGTTAAGGAAAACATGGGTTTGGAGACATGGCTCAATGGTTAGGCACACTGGCTGTTCTTCTGGAGACCAGTTTGATTTCAGCACACACATGGCAGCTCACAACCATCTGTAAAGTCCAGTTTCAGGGGTGCAACACCCTCTTCTGGCCTCTGTGGGCATTATTCACATGCATGGTATACTTATACACATGTGGGCAAAATATATTCCCACACATAAAGTAAAAATTCTTTTAAATCTTAAAAAAACAAAACAAAACTGAGATTCCCATGAAATATTCTCCCCTTTCTTAAATGCCCCCTCCAAACATCAAAATCTCTCAATAAAAACTACTATTATACACAAACTATAAACTAAAGGGTTTTAGTTAAGACCATCATATCAAGTGTATAAAAATGAGTGATCTTCCTAATAGCTGAGTGATCACTGCCTAGTTACATAACTATGCTCAGGTTCCTTCTCTATGAAATGGGTATGACAATAGTATCACACCTTATAGGACTTGCTACAGTGATGTAACACACTTAAAGTACTTACAAGTACCCTGGGCAGAAAAGAAATGCCTACATAATGCTAGTGATTATTTGATTCTCAATGAAAACAGATTCTTCTACATGAGGTCTTTGGAGACATAAAGCTGGTTCCTAAGTTTTCAAGGACAACTTTAGCCACTATTTTTCAGAGGCTTGAAGTAGCCATTGCCTATTTCTCTGAGCTGTAGATTTGATGTCACTCCTTTTCTTCTTCAGTTACTATCCCTTCATGTTCTTTGAATTTTCTCTCAGGGATAGAATACAGTATGTCTATCATTTTGAATTAGCATTCTGCTTACTATAAAATGTTATCTGTTCAATAGAAAGACAAGCTATCACAAAGAGTTGAGCAAATCTCGGAAGTTCATACTGAGGTCCTAAGGCTTGTGGGCTTTGGTGTTGCATGGACTGCTACAGAGGCACAGTAAGGCCAGGCCAAACAAGGTAAGGTGCTGCGGTAGATAGGTCAGCAAGATATGTCCCCTCATCCCATACTGTTCCTTCCTGTAAGGCTCTAAGTAGGGAGTTACCTGACTATCTATGAGGCTTGGGGCATTTGAGACACGGTAATTTCCCAACTTGAAGAATGATCAGAAGGTTGGTTAGTAGAAGAGGAAGGAAAGACAACTTTGGCAGAAAGATCCACACATGCTAACTAATAGAGACCAGAGTCACTCTATGGTTAAGAAAGGGATCAGTTACATGTATAATCCCATTCCTTTTGTTTCCAGTTTCAGCAGCTTGTCTTACCCCTTGATAAAAGCACTATACAACAGAGTGTTGCTTAAGTTAAGATATTTCAAGCCCCACATCACGGCATTTCCACGTAGTGCTATTCCCAATCTGAGGGATGCCCTCACTCACTGCTGCGCTGCCTGACCTCATTCCTCAGAATAGGCCCTTCTTAGAAGTAGCTACAAACAAACTCAGAAGAAATCACCAAGGATTGGTTCTAGCTCCATTTAAGGCTTTCAAACAAAGCAAAGTGCATTTGTACAACTTACTAAAAAAATGCTACCTTTAAAGAATAAAAAATTCATCTAGTCATAGTATATTCAGAGTAACTTTCACTCTTACCTTCATTCAGTAAGCTAAGCTAATTTATTACTAGATCTTTGGGAGATGTGTACTGTTATGAACATAGTCACAGCCCGCCCCCCCTCTTTCCAAAGCCACCCAATTTTCTATCCTTTGAAAAAGAAACAACCTTTCAACTATGCTCCACTGGAAGATTACACATTCAAAGCTAAACTATTTTAAATTGTAACTTGAACTTTTCTGATGGAAAATATCAAATGAATTCTTATGAAACTGCTGATATTTGCCTAGAGTTTTATTAAATATCATGGTAGACAGGCAAAGGGGCACCAGGCAAAGATTTTCAGGAAAGTATTAACAGGAAAGCATACTCTGAACAAAGTAACAACAGTTCCATCTAGAGAAGGGATATATTTGAGACCTGGAGCTCTTTAGTTAACTCACAGTCTTGCCAACCAAAGCTGTATTTCACTAACTTTTAATGGAGTAAGAAAAAATAGCAACAGGTAACAACTACTCTAGTTTTGATTTTTTAGGTTGGGGGTGGGGGTTCATGCTACACGGCCCCGGCTGACCTCAAACTCATAATCTTCCTACCTAAGCCTCTAAAGTAGCTGAGATCTAAGCAAGTGTTATCACATCTAGCTCAGTATCATGTTTTGAGGCAAGAGATCATTAAGTACTGAATACAACTTGGCCATTAAATCATCATCATCATCATCATCATCATCATCATCATCATCAATTTTGAGACAGGTTCTGGCTACATAGTCTAGGTTCACCACTAACTCACTGTCTTCTTGCCTCTGTCCCGAGTGCTGGGATTATAGGCATGATACCAGGCCCAGGAATTTATTTTTTAATCTTTAAAATATAATGTTCAAAAAGTTTGTCCTTTTCAGATGTTTTAAAAACTTGATTCCAAGCCAGGTGGCTGTGGTGCACCCCTTTAATCCCAGCACTCAGGAGGCAGAGGCAGGCCGATCTCTGTGAATTCGAGACCAGCCTGGTCTATAGAGCGAGATCCAGGACAGGCACCAAAACTACACGGAGAAACCCTGTCTTGAAAAGCCAAACAAACAAAAACTTGATTCCATCATTGTACTATTGCTTCACGATTCACCAAGTGAACTGCCAACCAACAAGATGCTAAGTTGTCATTTCACCTGTTTGAAAAAGCAAAGACCTAGCTCTATCTCTGACAGTGTCACGAACTAAACGTCCTTTCATATCATATAGAAAACAGATAATAAATTTGTCTAGACTTCCTACCAGCTATAATCAACATTAAAGAGGTCTTTCTTTGTCACCTCTCATTCAGTACTTGTTTGTACTTACTATCTGTTGATCTCCCTTTACAAATGACAAAAACTAGTGCTATTATGCATGGAAATTAAATATGCTGTGTGAAGGGAACTGGGTTGGTGAAGGAGACAGTAGAAGCCTCTAACTCTTTATGCCTCATGTTTTATTTTGAAAATTAAGCTTTTGGAGACATGAAAAATGAAACTCTTTTATGGGGGAACCAGATCCTGTTTTCAATATATGCTATGCTTCAATTAAATTTTGCCCAGTATATTTCAGCTAACACTTTATTCCCTCAAGAAATGTTAAGCAAGAATGAAAGGTTTAACTTCAATAAATATTTATATTGTTAAAAATAAATATTTCAGGACTTTGAAAAAAATTCCAAGATGGGACAAACTATCCACTACAAGATCATCATAGTGAATTTTGTTTGTAAGTACAACAGAAACAAAGCAAATAACTACTACTATTGTGTGACCTTCAATTATCATTTACAATGACAAAACTGCACATCTTCATTTTCCCCCTTGGGAAACAGGTACAGCTCAAGAATCTGTTGACAAGCCAATAAAAGAAGAACTTTTTTTTTGAATAATTTCCTTGGAAGCCCGATCTAAGAAACAGGTTTTTCAAGGAAACACTCTAAAACCACTGTAAGAAGTCTGCCATCCAAAAATGCCATCTTACTATTGCATGCAAATTGTTACAACCAATAGGAATAAGGACATCACATTTTCAGTTGCCTGGCTTATCATGTTTATAAATGAAAGAGGTAAAGTCAGCCTGTCCAATAGGAAAACAAAAAAAATGCAATGCTCTGTCATCTGATATTTAATCTCAGCATCACTATTCTTTAAAATCACTGTGTATCAAATTGTGCCAAATACTGATCAGTTTTAATTTCTGAGATTTCAACTAAAATGACTTCTGTCTGTACAAGTTAAACGAGATCATTTTCCCCCTGTAACTGAGGCATTCTTGATAGTTGGGCCTAATACAAAAAATGTTACTCATTTGTGTACATTTGTAGTTTTAGGATTCACAGGTGCAGAGCTTACCCAGACCTAGAACTGTAATACATGGAGCTTTCAAAAACATTTTTAAAATAAATAGAAGCAATAAAATAAAACATAGAGAAAGCAACAAGGGCTGGATCTGAAACTCACAGTAAAAAGTTCAAAGCAGCTCTTACCCTCCTTTGAGTTAAATATACACAATGGGTTCTATCACCAGCCAGTTAACCAATTTTATCCCACTGGTCTTTTCATCTACAGCCCTGTTAGGATGAACCCCAGTAAAATGCTGACTGTAAGCTGCTCTACTGTAGTAGCCTCTGCCCTGGCTACCCTGACCCCATTCTTTCCCAGACCCACTATAAAAGGTGGCCAGTGTAGTTCCCCAGGGCTCTCCATCCCATATCATCTCTCCACAGACATCATCGGTCTGTCTTTCAAATCTTCCCAATCTCATCCTGGTCCCTGCTTTTTCATTCTCAACAAAAATTTCTTGTTCCGTTGGGTTGCTTTTGCCACTATCCTCTATCTTCACCTTGACATTGCATGGTCACATAGTCCATTCCTAAAATGCCCATTGCTCTAATAAAAAGTCCATTCTTCTACAAAAATTTCCCAACCTACTGGGACTTCTCCCATTATCCCACTGGACAATGAACACACATTGGTTCACACTGTCCATTAAGCATCTTATTTTACCCTCCTAACTGGTTGGCCCCTGGAGAATAACCTTGTTTGGGTTTAGTAGTCTTGCTAGTCTCTAGGGCACAGAACCACTCTGTTAAGCATTGTACTCCCACATATTAGTGGGTAATTTTGTGTAAGCCACCAAACCTCTCTCTGAATCTCAGTTTCCTCATCTATAAAACAGAAGTACTACTTATTACTATCGTTCAAAGAATAAAAGCAAAACAACGAAAATCCTAAACTACCTTCCAAAAATGTT